TCTCTCTCTCTCTCTCTCTCTCTCTCTCTCTCTCTCTCTCTCTCTCTCTCTCTCTCTCTCTCTCTCTCTCTCTCTCTCTCTCTTGCACAACTCCTCCCCCTTGTGTGACCTCGCAACCTCCTCCTCCTCCCTGGCGGCTGCCTCCTCCCGCTGGCATGAACTCCTTCCCCCAGCACAACCTCTTCCTCCCACTGGTGCGATCTCCTCCCCCAGGTCCCCCTCCCGCATGCCCCCGTGCAACCTCTCGACCCCAATGCGCGACCTGCCCCTGGCCCTCCCACAACTTCCTCTTCCCGTTTGCACGACCCACTCCTTGCCCTCCTCGGACCTCCTCCCCCTTGTGCGACCTCCTTCTCCCCCTCGCGCGACCTGCTTCCCGTCCTTCCACGACATGCTCTTTCCCCTCGTAGATTGTGTTTGGACCTCATCCTCCCCCTCAAATCGGCCAAGGCAAAAGCACGCTGTCGGATGATTTGTCGCCGCTGGATTCAAACTCTCGTCGTGCTCTTCCCCCTCGCACATTGTGTTATGAGTCTCTGACCTCCTCCTCCCTCTCACACCAGTCAAAACATCAGCATGCCAATGGATGCTTTGTAAATTAGAACTATTTTATTGTGCTCGCCGCTGGATTCAAAGTCACGTCTGGACTCTCAAATTCAACAGTTTCATGTGTGCATAAGCTGAGGAACCTGCCACTTTGCAAAATGAGAAGGAATCTTCCGTAAGAACATAGGAACATACACCACGACGGACAGGTACATTGAAAAGAAATCCCGGTGTGTGTATGGACTAAGGCTATGAAACACCCGCGGACGCGTCCGCGGGGTCGAGCTCGGATCGCGGACCCTAATGGGTCCGCATCCGCGGCCTACCTGGTCCACACCGCGGACCTGATTTTACACGCATTTTACTGAATTAAATAATAGGTAAAAAAAATATAGATATATATGGGGTTGTAGGGAATTTTAAGCCCTACAACCCCATATTTTGTTTTTTTGAATCCGACTTTGCTTAGGATTTTTAAAAAATCAAAAACGAAATTGAATTTCAAGGGGAAAAAAAAAAAAAAAAAAGCAGAATTTTTTTTTGGTCATTTTTTATCATGAGATATATGGTCCGTGAGTTTACCTGTAATTTTTTATAAATGAATTTATGTTTTTTGCAGAAGTATGACGTGTTTTGAAAAAATGCAGATGCGAAAAAAAAAAAAAGAAAAAAAAAAAGGGGTTTGATTGATTGATTGATTGATTGATTGATTGATTGATTGATTGATTGGTGGTGAGGGAGGAGTCGCCCC